AACCTCCAGGGGACCTCCATGGGAGGTCTGATCGTGCAACCGCGCTTTGATTTTCCCCGGGGGAAACAGCCACGCTTCCCCCCCGCATTTTCCTGGCCATGTGACCGCAGCCCTGATCTACAACTGTGTTCCTTAACAAAAGGGTAAATATAATTTAATGGATCTAGGTTTGTTGTTCACACTAGGTTAGCTTCTGTTTTACCTTCTTCATCACCTGGCTGGTCATCTCGCTACATGCCACGTACCCATGTGTGACAGTTTTCTAAAGCATGTCTCTCTTGAAAGGCTACTTCTGAAGGACCCCTCAAGGAATGTGTGCTATCTTCTTCCTCCCAATTCCCCCTTATGAGATCAACTCAAAGTGGGAAAAGATTTCTCCAGTTGCTAAATGACCAGGTCAAAATACTGTTTTTCCTTTGGCTTCCTAAATCGCCTCCTGAAAATGCTAATTTCTATCTTGCTGACTCATGTGGGATGGGAATTAGGTCTCCCTTTTGATTAGACTTGGAGGGAGTGCAGAATGGTATAGTGTGACCTTATCAGATCTCAGAAGCCAAGCAGATTTGGTACTTGGATGGGAGATTATCAAAGAAGATACTGCAGAGGAAGGAAATGGCAAACCACCTCTACTTCTCAGTTGACTTGAAAGCCCCTTTGTGAGATCACCATAAGTGATGACACTTACTTAGATACGTTTGACCAGACTACCTGTTAGAAAACTTTTAGCTGCACCTCTGAACATTCAGAGAGGAAAACCCAACATTTACAAAATAAAATGGAAAATGCTCACACAGATTCTTGGGTGAATTGCCATAGCATCCTATATAGATGAAATCTTTGTGCCACTATAAGCATTTCTAGTTTCCATGGTTCAGCAACTTATACAATGTATGTAACAAAGGCTGGGGTTTGTGATGAGCAGGAAACAATAATTCACAAAAATAATGACTACAATTCATTAATAAATAAATAAACAAACTCTGGGACTGATACAAGATGGAGAAAATTGGAGGAACTCTCACTTTATAGCAGGGGTGGCCAAACTGTGGCTCGGGAGCCACATGTGGCTCTTTAATATATATAGTGTGGCTCCCGGCAGGGTGGCTGGGGAAGCTAAATATCATTAGCAAAGAAATATCCTGGACAAATAAATATCATTATCAATAGCTGGTCTTACCCCTTTTGTTATTATTTTTGGCAGTCTCATTTAATGTTAATAAAAAGCAAATTTCCCAGTAAAAATGTGCAATATTTATTTATTTATTTATTATTTAGATTTTTATCCCGCCCTCCCCGTAGGCTTGTTCATGTCTTGCAGCTCTCAAACCTCTGATGTGTATTCTATGTGGCTCTTATGTTAAGCAAGCTTGGCCACCCCTGCTTTATAGTTACATGGCCATGCCAATGCAAATATTCCATTTGGGGGTTATTACCTGCCATGGCTGGAGATATTGAAATCCATTGCTTTTGTCACCACCTGTCATTGGTCTATGGTTGGAGTGAGATAGGTACACGGCATGAAGAGCATGTGCTACAGCATATACAGCATTATAGATGCTGTAGCTGTGGCCAGTCATGTCCATTTCAAAAAAAGGCCCAGGAAGACTCTCCAGCTTCTCCTCCATGGTGCATGTCCCATCAACTTTAGATGTTTCCCAGAAATTTGGAACTGAACAGCCAAATGCTTGTTCCCAGAATTCCTTGATAAATCCATTTCCTTGTGTCCAATAAGGTTTTATGTTTTTAATAAATTTCTGGAATCCTAGAAGCTTTTGTGAGTGGATTGAGAAGAAAATTGAACCCTGAAAGCATTCAAGACTCAAGTCCCACTGAAGGCCTGTGAATGCAAAATCAACCTGGGCTGTCATAATCCACACCCTTCTAAAAGAACCATTGTCTTTTATTTCATAATGACCTAGAAGTATAAGTGTTATCAGTGCTACAAAAGTCCTTGGTCCTCCATAGAAGATAAAAGTAGTGACTTTGCTATCTTCAAAAGACCAAATAGTATTTGAAAAGAAAATAGAAATATAAAGGGAGTCATCCCAATGGTCTCGGTTTAGTATTCTTTCTGTGAAGGCCAAACAAATTCCATGTTGGGAAAGCAATGGTTCCATGACCCACATGAAATGTTCTCCACTATCATCACTTACAACAAACAACCCAACCCATGTCCATTTGAAATACTTAAGTAACCGGACAAGCCCGATGTACTGATGGGCTTCATTGGGAACCATGCGGTAAAAGGAAGAGGCTTTTGTTTTGTGTCCATCTACTGGGGAAAGTGACGCATAGGTGAGCTAAAGAAAACAGATAAATTAGAAATGAGAAGTTAGGAGTGTCCATGCCTATCTTTAGGTTAATATTCTCAAGTGACATTAATATGGTGCAATTGATGATGAAACATGTCATTGGAAAGTAATCTGCTAAAAACACCCTGCGCTTCCCTCTCCTCCCCCACCCCCACTGCCAGTTTTGAGCAACTGTCCATTTGACCTTGTTTCTTTGTGCATCAGACATGATTTTAGCTCTCAGGCAAACCTCGTCCTCCTTTGAGTCATTTTCATCAAGAAAGGTATATTGTTACTGGAATTTCTCTATCTTCAATGCCCACAACCTACCTGTGGAATCTTGTAGAGACCTAGAATGTCTGCCATGTGGAAGGTGATATCAGAACCAAGTCCCCCGATGATGGTCACTAGGTTTTTCTGCTTGCCACATTCATAATTGGGGAAATACCTATCTGATTTAAAGAGCAGATCCAGAGTGGTATGGTAGGTCATCTTTTTGTCATAGTAGCTGTCATAGATGTGGAATCCAAGAGTGATATTGGGCAAGATCTTTGGATTCAAGTTGATCTCATTTACAGCAAATGCCAAGGCAAGAAGATGCTGGTAAAACTTTGTCACCATACTATTAAAAAGAGTTAGTTAATCATAGTCAGTAACCCATGTTATGCCCCACTTCAATATGACATCTTTACTTTTCTGTTTTCCCATCATCAATATTTCTTTAGGATATCGTTAACCTGACTTATGTTGTATTATACATGTAAAATTAATAAAAATTTAATTGAAAAAAAAAATATTTCTTTAGGATGGGGGTAATCAAAATGTTAGGTCACACCAAAGACAAGGATAAATTAACTGCCTCACAAAACTCAAGATACAAAGTTCCTTTCACAATACATTTATTTTAAAAAGGGAATATTTGCTTTCTACTGCACACCCCTTTAACAGTAAGTTCTCCTAGACATAATTTTAAATAAAGATTTTGAAATCAAATTGTACATGGAGAGGCTTTTCAAAACCTACAACCAAAGATATATGAAGATACTGTTTAAAAATAAATGTTATTAATGTAGATTTATTTTATTAATTTTGAAAAACTGAATAAAGTTCATTACATCTGATGTGGTAACTTAGAAACACTCTGAGCTACCAGGGTAGTTGGAATAGTGATGTAAGCAATATGATCAAGATGTAGAAAGACAACAGAAAGGTATTGAAAGGAAGCAGGTGAGCAGAAAACTGGGACACGGTGACACTGCACAGAAATATGGAAAGGGACTGTAATTAGACATGCACGTGCTTCTTGAACACCTAAGGAATGAACAGTTCATAAAACAACAGCAGCAGCAGCAACAACAACAACAGAGCTTTGAGTGACCTAAATATTTTTTTCCACGGGAGCCCCATGTTGTATCCAATATGCAAATACATATCCTCTCTTGACACATTTCGCTTGTGTGATGATCAGCAAGCATAGGATTTTGTTTTAACTTAATTGGTGTTTCCTGTAAACTTTAGAAGTCTGCAGAGCCGAGTCCAGCTCTTCAAAATAAAATGACACTGGTCATTTCAAAAACTCCTTCCACTCTCTACCATTGGCTTAACCTAATGTCCAATGTTCCCTCTAAGCTGTGGAATCTGGTGAGCAAAAATTCTACTTTGTGAGCTACTAGCATTAAAGTTGTGAGTAAGCAATTTGGCTACTGCATAAATGAGTTTGCTCTGGAGCCCCATCCTTCCTGAGCCAAGACAAAAATGTGTGAGCCGGAGGCTAAAGAACTGTGAGCTAGCTCACACTAACTCAGCTTAGAGGGAACACTGCTAATGTCCATAGTTATCCATCTTTATAAATAATTTTGATAGATTTTTTAAATCATCTAACTGTCTGTTCACAACTAAGCAAGTGCATGTTTGTTCTCAAGCGAGGTACCTTCTTTTAAAATATTCCCAGTACATCCATATAATTTCACATAGATTTGAATATTGAAAGGTGTTTGTTTCCTTTTTTCCCCATTTCAACAGCATCAGAGATTATACTATCTGCCCAGCAAATACCTGTTTTTGTTCTCTGCCCAGCAAATAAATAAAAATTAAGAGTGGGTATTATAGGGGAAGAAAATTCACATGTAGGGCAAAACGTGAAGACAAATAAGATTTGGAAAGTTATGGAAAAGGAGGGGTGCTAGACAGGGCCATGTCTTGTTAGGTTTCCTGGTCATAAGAAATGGAAGAAAATCAGTTTCCTTACTGTGGAACATCAAACAAGCCTTGAGGGTAATCTGTCCAGGACGGTATAGGGAAATGGTAAATGATCTGAGAAAGAATCCCACCAATGAGGATGTTCCCTGGCTGGTACCATTCATGTGGAATAGGAATCCCTTTCGTTGTGCACTTCATTGTATCTCCTTTGTATGCGATGCAAGGCAGTAGCAGCAACAGCACCACTAGCCGCAACATCTGGAGAGCAACCTCAGCCTCTGTATATGACTTCTCTTCTGCCCGTCTATAGCATCAGCCTATCTTAAACTGGCTAAGTTGGATAAGGATTGAGTCTGGTCAGTTCCAGATCCGGTCTCTACAACAGAGGGTGTGTGCTGAGCGAGCTCCCTCACCTTCTGATCCATTTACCCTCTTTAGGCTACTTTTATCACCTCAAACTTCCTCCCGTAGAGAAGAGTTTGGTAGGGGACTTCTAGCTACAGATACACTTCTGAAGGGAAATGCAGACAGCAGCCTTATTATCGTCCATGGAATTAGAAATGGAGACCTTAAAATGCCATTTGGTAATGTCGTATTGTATTGTCTTTGTGTTGTCTTTACTGTTTTTGTAACCAGAGTCATAAAAAGCAAAGCCTCATCCCACAATAAACCCCATTCCACAGAAAAAACATGGACGAATTTCAAGGTTGCTACTGCAAAAGTTGTCATGTGATTTGACAACAGCTGCTAGAAATCTTGCCACACACAGAGTACTTCCTTTTCTTCGTCTTTAAGTAACAAGGATGATTTTGCTTCTGGAGAGAAGAAGTCCTGATTAAATAAAGGGGAGATCAGTTCATCTCTTAGAGCTGAAAATTTGGGACATTCAAGCAAAATATGATCCACAGAGTCAGTTTTTACTGCTGCTGCAATTACAGAATCGATCTGAGTACGAAATCCCATTAAATCTTCCCGACATCACAGCTGAAGGTAGGGCAGATTTGGTAATGTCAATGATCTGGATGCATCAATGGTGTTTAACAAAGCAAAAATGTTATAGATTGAACAGCTGGAGCCCTGACAACATTCCCCTCTCTCAATAGTACAGGGGGGGGGTTAATAATCACTTTTTGATTGACTGTTTTCAGCACTTTCTGCAATGCTGCTTCAGCTTTGGCCAAGTGGATAAATAACAGTGATTTGGATAATTCCACTGGGAAATAATTGTATGTACAACGGTTGGACTCCAAGTGGCAACGTTGGCAGCAAACATGTTTTTCACCCCGCATCTGACCGCACGATTCTCCTCTGCTCCTAAATGGCAGGAAATTACCTTTGACTTTTATACTTTCATGGTGAGCAAAAAACAACAACAGTGCAATCAGGGTCCAAGAACAGGATATTGATTTTTGAGGATTAGATACACGATTCCATGTTTAATTCTTAAGCATGTTTACTCAGAAGTAAAGAAGAAGAGATTGGATTTATACCCCGCCCTTCAATTGGAGTCTCAGAGTGGCTTACAAACTCCTTTCCCTTCCCCTCCCCACAACAGACACCCAGTGAGGTGGGTGGGGCTGAGAGAACTCTGACACACACTGCTCTTTTTCAAGGACAGCTGTGCCAGAGCTTGTGACTGACCCAAGGTCACATCAGCAGGTGCAAGTGGAGGAGTGGGGAATCAAACCCGGTTCTCCCAGATTAGAGTCCGCACACTTAACCACGACACCAAACTGGCTCTCTTGATGGAATTCAGTTGAAAGTAAGCAGGTCTACTCCGAATCCTACTAGGGTCTATTCAATGGGGCTTACTCCCACAATGTGCTTTTAGGATTCCACCGTGACATGCTTGCAGGTTTGCTTAAGAAAAGATACTTTAAAATCCAACTATTCCAGCTTGTTCACTGTAGCTCAATATGTCAAATAACATCATTCCTGAGCAAAAGGTCACTATTCCGGCCTCCTTTTAGAGTTGAAAAATTACTTTTATTGAAGAGACTTCTGTCCCACCTCTCCAGAGTCCTGCTCAAGGCAGCCCACGATTTTTCTAAAAAGCTAATCAAGAAAACAAGCTCAGCAACATATACTGGATAAGAAGAGTAGCTTTTTATAACCTGCCTTTCTCTACCTTAAGCAGTCTCAAAGCATCATACCATCACCTTTCCCTTCCTCTTGCACAACAGACACTCTGAGAGATAAGTGGGGCTGAGAGAGAATTGTGACTGGCCCAAAGGTCACCCAGCAGGTTTCCTGTGAAGAAGGGGAATCAAACCCAGCTTTCCAGATTAGAGTCTACCGCTCTTAAATATTACACCTCAGTGACTATCCAATAAAACTGGAGAAAACTGTGCTTAAAACAAACCAACTTGAGCATTCAAGCAACCACATAGCGTTCTTAGTTGGAAGACCAATTTACTGATCTAAAACAAGGTCTCAGCCTAGACTGGCATTACTATCAGATGGAATAAGGGGAGAGGGAAGCAAGAAAGGTGTGGAATGACATACTCAACTCACTTCCTCTCATTTAAAGAAATACAATGGCAAAGGATGCTTTATTCTCACAGAGTGAGAACAGATAGGAGACACTAGGAAATCAGGGATTCTTCCCCCCCTTTCCTTTTAAGGAGCACGGCCTCTCACACAATGTCCAGTCACTAAAAGTTTTTTCCCCCAAGTCTCCACGGGATGCGCTCAAGCACCCAATGGTGCATGCGCATGTGCACACTTCGTTTAAAAACAAAAAACACAGCCCCCTCCTCTTTACTGTACCACCCACTCCTGGCTCAGCCTGCTCGAGAGGAACTCTCTGCACCGGGCGGCAGAGGGGGAGGTGCAGGGGGGGCATGGCAGGAGGGCGGCCCGGCTGAAGCTCCTCCTGGAGGGGACCGGACGGAGGACACAGTTTGCATTCCTCTGAAGCCCTGGAAGGGGTTGAACCCACGGAGCCTTTTGCTAGGGAGGCCACTTCTTTGCTGCGCCGCAGGATTGTCTTGTGATCGGCATCTCCCCCCTATCCATGGGACCTCAACGGGACCTTGACGGGACGTCCGATTGCGCAGCCGCGTGTTATTTTGCTCCGGGGCAAACTGCCATGCTTCCCCCCTGCATTTTCCTGCCCGTGTGACCGGGGCCATTGATAACTATATGTTTTTACTCTCACCTGGTACACCTTGGCTCCAAGAACATCAACTATGCTCTGAGGCAAAGTGCATTTTCAGGGTAATACTTAATTGAAATAATATAGCGCTAGCCAGGCTGAAGAGCCTTGTGGGATATGAGATTCAACCAAAGAATAGATGTTCAAGCCAATTTAAGATGCTGCTCAGAAAGGTCTCCTCTACTCCTAAGTGGGTCAAAGTTGCCCCTGGCTATCAAGCTTTGTTGGTGAGCAAGCAACAACAAGATAGTTAAGTAGTAGTAGT